AGTCATAGAAATGACGTCATAGTGTGTTTTGTTACAAAACCATAAATGTTCATCACATAATGACGTTTTCTCGTTCCATATGCATAAGGTATAGCCAAGAATTATGCCATGTTGCGACTGTTCTGGTACATCTCCCCAAGACATGTTGACTGCTGTCTTGCTTAGCTCTTGAGACTTAAGGTTTACTGGGTACCAGCTTGGAGCTATTATAATCATTGTGGTATTACAACGCTACTATAAATAACTCAACGAGCAGAGGGAACTTCTGAATTACGCACAGTTACGAAAAGGAATTCAGTCTCAAAAACGTAATCTCAGGGACCATATGAAATTCCAATTTTTGATAAAGAACTCATAACTTATGATCATTTTACGTTTAGGTTAATCATGTACCTGCTTCCAAAGTAGTAGCGGTTATCCAGTTGGACTTGGGTCCAGTACCCCCTTCGTTGAAGCCCGCTATGCTAAACCTGTAGCATGTGAATGGTGACAAAGAAGAGTCTTTGTATTTCAAGGTACTTGCGCCGTCTATTTGAATAAGCTCAGAACTCTCCACTCCAACGTTGACGCATTTAATGCGATATATAAAATAGCCTGAGACTGGTCCAGCATGGTTACTGTCAGGAAGTATGCTACTCCATTTCAAAATGGCAGACCATGATGTAACTTCGCCTAGTTGCAACCCTGCTGGGAATGACTGTGGAGCTGCAGACATATGCAAAAATAATAAAAATGAAAATAGAAAAAAATGTGACAATTCTTTCAAAAAATATATAAATAATCTACATAAACCTCATCAAAACCGCATTATGAGTTCATCTCTCACTGTTGTCCATACTCCAATAACAAAGACAACTAGATTGGTTTTCATTTACCCGTGAGAAAGTCTTATAGTCAAAGTATAACAATATSTGATACACACAGAAAAAAAGAGAAAAGTTTAAAAAATAAAGAGTAATAAATTACAGTGTGTAGAGTCGACTCTAAACTATCATGCTAATTGCCAAACAACAACAACAACAACAAAATTTTAATACACATTACACATTAAGTTACAATTTAAGTGAATAGCAAATGAAGTTGAATAAATAGGAATATAATATAAGGTTTTCTTAATGTTGTGCCTAAAGGCTAAGTAAACTGGTAAGTTTTCTAGTTAGCCTTTAGTAATAAAGTTAAAGTTTACGTTTCTGTAGAAATGAAAAAGAGTATTGTAGTAGAAATAGATAAAGAATAAGTACGTACTGGTAGAAGTATTGTAAGTATAAAGTTGAATTAAGAATCAATTATTTGGTGGGAAAGTAGATGGCATTTAGCCTRTTTTGAAAACGATTTAGTGTTGCTAATTAATCTAGTAGTCTGGGGAAGTTTTTCGCATATCTTTGCCGCAACAAAAGATATAGATTGTTTACCTAAGTTTGTTTTAGAAGCAGGTATACATAGATTTAATTTGGAGGAGTATCTGGTGTTGTAATTATGGCGTTTATTGGCATATTTGAACCAGCTATCAAAGTGTTTTGGTAGTAGGTTAAAATGCCACTTATGAACAAGTTTGAGGATATTTAARTGGAAAATATTTTCTACTGTCAAATATTTTCTACTGCCCATTTATTTAACATAGCGTACCATTCTCTCTGGTCGTTACATTATACCAGTGACTTCGAGGCCCCTCACCATGTTGATTGACAGCCGAGATCATAATAACATACGATGTCATTGGTTGAAGATTGATGAAAGACCAGTTTGTATTGGAAGTAATGGATGTATTGAATGCATTTGATGCATTTGATRCATTKAAAACAGCTAAACTGTGGTTGATGTATAATTTAAATTGAGTTTCATTGTCGCCAAGTTTTTCGAGAGATGGTCTTTCCCATGACACGTCAATTGAGTCACCAGAAACGTTGAGTATCGACACGGGGCTGGGAAACGACTTGGGAACTGTAAACATGCAACATCCAATGATGAATGTGGATGGAATAATGGAATCAGCGAAATATTTCATCAGATATATAAAATATAATATAAACACTGAAGTCGTGTGCTTAATGACCAATCAGAGTTCGGCAATCCTTACCTCCGCCCATCGTTGTTACATTGACCAGACAACCATCAGTTGATTTCCCTCTTCCCAATGTACTGTAAGCCGCCACTTTGATGCAGTACGTCGTATAGTACAATARRTTTGAAATCATGGCGAATGTCGTCTYGTATGATTGTAGCGGAGTAGAGACTTGACGGCTATGATTTCTTCCATTTTGAAAAGCGTATAGTCCGTAGTGTTCAAATGGCATTCCATACATTACTGGGTATGACATGTTGATGGGATTCCATGAAGCCCCTATTGTTGTAGCGTTCACCAAATATGCWGAGAGATTGGCTGGCTCCTGTGAGGGGACTTAGAATACATGGTTTTATAAATATGTAATTTTGTGATAAGATTACTCAGGTTAAGCGTTCTATTGTCTTTTTTTAATGTATATATAAACTAATTTCAATGTTTTAACTCTATTTTAGATACGTATGTCCTCAATTTTTTCAACTCCAGAGGTGACAGCAAAAAAATAAAAGAAGTGAGAGCAGACAAGAGCAGTATATAAAAAAAGTATGATATCATCTATAATAAAACTAAAGTATTTATGTAATTCTCCAAATCATAGCAATTCTTACCATCTCTTGTATCGATATACACACAGGAAGCCGTATRGTCACCATCTCCATTTAAGGATGTTGTATATGCCTTCATGCAATAGTTGGTTAATGGCTGATAGTCTTCACGYAYAGCCCAAAATTGACTATGTTTTATTGTTCGAGAACCAAAAAGAGTTCCATTCATATTAAATGCAATCAATGTAAAACTCTTATAATACTGTTTGCGGGAGGTGTTAGGCCTTAACAAAGCGACTTTTAACCGTCCTGGATGTMTACCTCGTTTAAMTTKTCCAATTGTTGGAGGAACTGCAAACACAATAAAAAAGAGAGTCAATTGTCATTTGTTAAGACCACGTGACTACCCCATGACAAGCAACAACAACAATAGCACCACAAACACCAACACCAGCAACAACGATAACTCCATCAACACCATCATCATGAA